ATTACCTATAATAAATAGTATATTCTGGCACAATTAAAAATTAACTTAAATGTAAGTTTAATAGAATTAAAAGCTTCTTCTTAATGGTGATTTTTAGGATGTCTTCTAAAAATGTCTTCTTTGTCCATGGATACTGCCTTTATAATTGTTTTATTTTAATAACATAGATGCTGCATTTTATATAATTTAATTTAATATTTGCCTCTTATTTGTTTGATTCTTCCAATCATTTTGTGATTATATATGAGCTAATAGAGATCAGTTCCTTTACAAGATTTTTTGTAAAAATATTGAAGTTTCTATCAGAGATGTTTTTGTTTAACAGAATTTTAATTTTTTGTAGCCTGTAGATTATTTTATAAACTGGGGGATTAAGAGATCTTAAGGATTAAACAGTTCATTTCATTTATAGTTAGCATAAATCACCTTATTTACCTCTTAGGTGTAAAGTATTCTGGTAACTTTGTTACTTTAAGTTTTATAACCATAGCACCTTTTAACACATTTTTTTCTTTAAAATTATTTCCATTGTTTGTATCTTACAATTGTTTCACCTTAATTATTAAAAAATAGTTTTACAGTATTCTATATCCTATACTTGTTTTAAAAAGAGTAAATGACAGATGATATATGTGTGTATATAATTTTAAGAATACTGGTACATAGAAAAAAGCATGTATGGAAGGTGATATTTAATGATTTTATAAATCTTGACTTTGTACTCAATTTCTATGTAGAGATTTATGTATGAGCTTGATGAATTTGAAGTAGAAATCATTTGAGACTTAAGGGAAGTAATCAGGTTTTTTATTCATAACATAATAGTGCTGTTGAAATTTGGAAATTATCTGAGAAATAGGAACTAGAAATTTGAAGTTACCAGTGAGAATCTATCACATAATGCAGCCATGCCGTTTTTGTTTTTTTTTTAATTTGAGCTTAATAGAGAAATGAGAGGTAGTTATTATATTTATTGGTTAGCTTTTGCTGCATAATAAATTACTTCAGAACGTAGTGGCTTAAAATAACGATATATTTATTATTGAACAGCCTTTTTGGTGTTAGGAATCCAGGGACAGCTTAGCTGGGTCCTCTCTTCAAGGTCTCTTACGGACTTTGAGATGGTCATTTGCTAGGCTTGATTGAGAAAGGATTCATCTCCAAGCTCACTAACCTCTTTGTTGAAAAGATTTATTTTCTCTCCAATGTGGCAGCTTGTTTCATCAAAGCATGAATGCCCAGAAGTCATTAGAGGATACCAGTAAAATGGAAGTCACTGTCTTTTGAAATGTAATCATGGAAGTGACATCCCCTTATTTTTGCTGTATTTTGTTAGAAACAAGTTATTGTATCCAACCAGGACTCAAGGGGAGGATATAAACACCACAGGTATAAAAAGACATAAATATCAGGAGGCTCAGGGATCATTGGAAGCCATGTCCTGTAACTCTTGCCTTAGCTATATACATATATATATATATATATATATATATATATATATATATATATATATATATATAGCCTAAGAGACCATTATGACCAAATCTATATATATATAAAAGCCTAAATGACCATTATGACCAAACGACTGGAACGACCATTTGACCAGTTGCTATGATGCGCACTGACCACCAGGGGGCAGACGCTCAACGCAGGAGCTGCCCCTTGGTGGTCAGTGCGCTCCCATAGCCAACCTCCGTGGGTGGCACTTGGCGACTATTCCTTCTGCGCCTGGCCTGGCAACCTCGCCTCCTCTCCTGACCCTGCCTGGGCCTTTGGGCCCTGGGCTGGGACGGGGAACCGATGGTGGGTGGCAATGGACATGGCCCCTTTCCTAGGGAGGCCGAGGGCCAGCTGACCTCCCTCACCCTGTCCCTCCCCCCTGGCTGGCAGTCCCCGATCAGATTGACCCTGATTGGCTCTGATCTCCAGTCAGGCCTAGGGATCCCACCCATGCACGAATTCATGCACCGGGCCTATAGTACAAAATAATCATGAGCAACATTGAGAATGAGTTCATAGATATTTTTTATTAGTTTTTTTCTGCTATTGTTGAATGTGAAGCCTCTTAATTTTGTGAGAATTTAAAAAATTATTTTAGTATGTTTTGCAGGTATGCTGTCTTTGTATTTCTTTGCTTTAGTTTTTCAGTCAGCCAAGTAGGATTTCAGGTCCCCCTACACGCACACTTTACATTTAAGAGTGTGTGTTACATACCAGAAAAATTAAATTCTCTCCTTTTTCTTTTGAGGTTGCCGATAGTATAGGCTGTCATACAGCTGTACTGTTTTACTTCAAAGTGTCATACACTTTGTTCATTTCATAAAAATTTGGAATGGAATTTATTTTGCCTGTATTGAATATTGAAGTACGGAGTAGTGCAAATGAGAAGTTTAGAATCTAATCCAGTGTTTCTCACAGTATGGTTTTTGGTCAGCGACATCATCATCTCCCCTTTGTTAGGAATGCAAATTCTCTGGCTCCACTCCAGACTTCTGAATTTTGGGGAGAGATTCAGCAAGCTGTTGTTTTAACAAACTCCAGGAGGTTCTTATGGTTGCTAAAGTTCCAAAACTACTAATCTGTTCAGGTTCTTAGAATTTGGATACTACTTTTTTAAAAGCTTTTGGCCAGTACTAGAAATCTTTTATTACCGTTATAAAACGGTTATAAAACATTTATTTCCAGGAAAATAAACATTTTCTCCTACTCATTTTACAGATAAAGAATACAGAAAAGAAACACAGTGCTTGCCTTGTGTTTTTCAATTCTGTTGGCTAGGCAGCACATGTGTTTGTCAATAAGGTTGGAGTGTTGAGGGAGAGCATGGGATTCTGAGATTAAATTTTTCTCTCCTTACACTATTTCTCTTTTGTTAACAAAAGTCAAATGCTAAAGAGCGATTTGTAGATGAGGATTATGTTGGCTTAACATAATATCACATGTTAAACTTTCTTAGTTGCATTGAAAATACATTTGATAATTGTCAAAGAATTGTTTGTATAGTGTTTACTCAACTTTATAGTTATGTTTCAGTGAATATTTACCAATAAAGAGCTGCATTGAAATATCTTAGGTAGAGTAGAGGCCTCGTAAAAAGGTCCCTTCTAGCTGTCATGCCAACTTTTTGAGGTGTAAATACTGATTGGAAAGGCATCTATATAGACAGCATGATTTTTCTTTGTGTTCTTGATTCCTTCCAGTTTTTTTTTTTTAAAGTATGTGCTATGATACTATTGTAGTAAGATTCAAATTAAAAGCAGACTATACTTAACAATTTGATTATATGTCTTTTATCACTGTTTTGTGAAAGTTTGACAACTTAAATATCTTTGAGGACTAAATTTTGAGAGGGCTGATTAGTAATTTCTTGGTTATTTTGCATGAATTCACATTTTAGTTAGCTGTAGTGAATGTGAGCATTAGCTGAAATGATACATTCTGCTCATGTGTTCATTTAGGTAAAGTTGTTAAGATTACAGAGTGGATTGCTGAATTTGATATAGTTCTTTGTCTTATACATCCAAGAATATAGTCAGGTGTTTAAATGTAAAAATTAGGTTACATAGTGAAGTTCAGTAGTGCTAGACAAAAACATCTACTGTTCTAAAAATCAGATAATAGTGGATATTAAGAATATTGAATATGCTCTGCCTTTCTTACTTTTTCCATTCAGTTAGGTGTTTGGGATTCTGCTGGCTTGTATTGTTTGCTGGATTCTTTTAGCTTAGTAATTTAGAAAGCAGCAAGATAACCATAGGGATGGATGAGAATCGCCATTAAGTGTAGATCAGTTTATGTAGACTTATGGAGGCATAATGATTTTTGAAAGATGATAGCTGCTTTACATACCTTTTTCAGTCCTGTTGGTTTTATAAGTTTATCATACCCTTTATTTCATGGTGGTTAAATCAGGTGGTCATTCTCCATTTTAAGGCTACTTGCTGCCTTAAGATCTTTTTATATAAACCTATTCTGGTAAAACTTAGAGAAAATTTTAAAATAAATTATTAGCAGATTTTCCATTGACAAGAAAACATTTGAAAGTGATTCTGTTTTCATTATTTTTCCCCATGCATTCAGTTAATGAAATAATTATTTTCCCTCTTTGGACTAATTTTGATACAGTTAAGATAGGATTTAGTAAACCGTTTTGGCTCTGCTGAAGTTACTTATAGTATAAAATAATTTTTTTCTATTTTCCTACTTAGCAATGCTATTTTTCTTCAAACAAAAAGTAGTTACAGTGTGCATGCCGCATAAGTTTCACGTTAGAATTTAAGGGCACATTTGACTAGGATAAACTTAGAATGTCTGTACATAATTGAAAATTTCTTAAAGTTAATACAGTAATGTATGCAAATGAATGAGAGTCACTCTAATATTTTCTGACTCCTGCAGAAGTAAATTGTCTACATTAACATGCTCTGTGGGTGTATATATATATATGAATTGGCTATCCCCCTTTCTCTACTCCCACAAATCAAGGGAAATAACCTTCCCCACTCCTTTCAACAACAGTGAAAACAATACAGATCATCACTTGAATGTCCCACAAAGCTTTACTAAGTGAATAATCATCAACTTCAGAGTTACCTTGCAGTATATACAGCATTAAAGAGCCCATTGATCAAGTTCCCTATTAAAATGTTAAAATAACAAGATCAGATGTTGATGATCAAACTTAGTGTTATTTTCAATAGAGTTGGATATTTGTGTATGCACAAGTGTGCTCTTTTTTAACTGGTGTCTAACTTTGTGATTACAACTTGTGGGGAAACCTGTTATCAAGTTGTTAGACTGGGTTTTTCATCAGGAAGTCAGATGTTGTACTCGAATTGTTGGTCCTCTGCAAGAAAACAGAATGCTTCTCTTGAGTGAATAAGCCAGGATAATGAGGCGAGGGGTTTTATTTCAAAGGTGTTTTTTGGTGATGGCATAAATACATTACAGATTATAAAATCCAATTACTATATTAAATTTCATCACTTGTTTTTTAGGTATTCCAATAACTGTACCACCTCCAGGTAAAACTTTTTCCATGTTTTCTCCATCATTGTTAATAAACATGAAATTTCAAGCCTATAGTTACAGGAGGGACAGTGTTGATACGATTAGAATATGGAATAGGCTATTGGGATTTCAAGGTCCTATTTTCAGCTCTGCCTTTGCTTCATTCCAGTTTTGATTAAGATAGTTTTCTTATACCTGTCTTACCCATCTCTGTAGAAATAGAGATTCTGAGAAAATTCTCACCATGTCAATTGGTTGAAGAAAACTGAGTATAGGAAAAAAAAAATTTTTTTTTGAATTAAAATACCAAGGAATTCTTTATATGATAAAGTGCAAGAGACAAGAAAGATCATTTATCTTGACTTAATTATGGTTTCTGATTTTTTTTTCACCCTGCTGGCATAACTCAATATTATGAGAATATATGTTCTGACCCACACTATTAGGTAGATTGATAACTGGACAGAAGGTTGTTCTCTGAGTGGTTAAATTGTTCATTGTTATAATGGTATGATCAATAGTTATATGTGGCCCAGTGTTATTTAAAAAAAAAAATTTAGGGTTTTTTGGTAGCGTGATACAAATGTGGCAGCAAGTGTGTTAACTTAGTTCAGCATTAAAAGCCAAGGAGCATAAAGAGAATGAGAAGTGACAGTTCTTGGAAGGGTGGGTCTAAAATCAAAATGACCTTGATAAACAGAAACAGTGGAGTTTAGATAGCGTAGGTGAGTTTACATATTTAGATGTGAGATAGTCATTGATAGTCTATGAATGTGGCTGAAAAAGACTTACCAGGAAACGTTATAAAGGAATCATTGGTGTGTCTTTTTAGTTTAAAAAGAAATGTGATTTTAAAACTGTATAAAGCAGGATTGTGGACTCTTGAGTACTAATGTGGTAATTCCTAAACTGTATACTTCTAAGATGTTCAGTAGAGGATTTATAAATCCCAAAACTGGATACAGGGAAGATGAGCATGGTGAATTTGAAACAGCTTGTAAAAGGGCCAAAACTGATTTAATTGGACTTTTGAGAAGGGTTAAGAGAACTGGGATTCATTTTTACTTAGAATATTAAAAAGGAGGTCTAGTGGAAATGTTTTTAATATATAGAAGGTTTTAGAGAATATGGCAATAGATTGTTTCTTGTCCTCATTCAAGATAGCATATGTATTGCAGTGTGAGAAATTTAAATAATATACTTTAATGCATTTCCCAGTAGTGACAGTTGTTATTAAAACTAGGGAGCAATTGGTATCATAAGTTGTAGAATCTTAAACTCTTTGTTGGGATACTTTTTGCCTATTTGAATTGGAAAGTGTAGAATAGATTAACTGTTTAAGGTCCCATTTAGCCACATTCCATGGTATTACATTTAGGTATTGTGAATTATTGAGAATGCAGACCTCATAATATCAAGGTGCAAATTATTTTCTTTCCAGACTAATGCAAAACTATAATTATGTGCCTTTCTTTGTAAAATAGTTTTTAGGGTTGTGCTATTAAAACATATTTTATGATGGATATTCTCAGCCTTAAGCAGTTATTATATTTACTGGTAAGATTTTATTTATATATTATACATTTTAAGAAAATTTCTACACATCTAAAACTCAAAAAAAAATTTAAAAAGAGGTAAATGTTATTTTATTTGCTTTTCTACTAAAATATTTCAAGTATAATAGATCTGGTGGCAACACTACTGTTTTATATATGGAAAAGGTAAGGCATTGAAATTAACTTTCTCATACTCACAAAATGGGCTGTGTGTGGTGCTGAAAATAAGACCGAGTGTCCTGACTCCCAATTTGTGCTCTATGTATTAGACAAGACTCTTCATTTAAAGTTTTATTACTCTAATACTTGTTTATAAGTTTAAGCTCCATTTTTTTTCTGTCCATTATAACATAGAGAAGCATGTTATGTCCCCAGAAAAATTTAGTGATATGTAGCAACTTTGTTTCTCTCTTGCAATTAAATATATATTCTCTTAACTTTTTTTTCTTATGATTGAATGTTTCAGGTTTTCCTCCTCCACCAGGTGCTCCACCTCCATCTCTTATACCAACAATAGAAAGGTAAATAATTGTGTATACTGTAAAATTTTTATCATTGATAGGCTTTTGACAGAAGAATCATACATATTTTGGTAATATTTTCAAAGATTTAATTTTATAAATAGTAGTACCTGCTTTTTAGTGAGTAAGTCTAGATCTATGTTAGCTACTTTGATATAAGACTTTGGACCAATAACAAAACACAAAGAAAACTAAATGATAGTATTTTGAAATACCTTCCCTTGATTTATAACACACTGATTAAAGAAACTCTGAAATTGATTTTTAAAAATTTAGTATAGTCAATTTTGTGGAAAATACAAAAAGATGACTGGTAATCATGAATAAAGCATGTCTGTTTTAGGATTAGGTAAGGACAACTATTATCAGGAACCATAATAAAGAAAAGCTGCCTTATTCCTTGCTACCCTGCTGCAACTCAGCTTCCACAATGGAAAATTTGATCTATTCTGCATAGGGAAAGCCTTATTTTTATACTCTGCATTTATGATTTTTGTTAGTTAGAATGCTGTACTAAATAATATTTACCTCATGGATGGCAATATGGTGTTTAACAACAGAGGCTTTGGAATAAAAAAGAACTGGTTCACATTTTGCCTTCATAATTTATCAGCTTTGTGTTGCTAGGCAAAGTTTATGACTACTCTTTGAGACTTAGTTTCTTCTTTTACCAAGTGGGATTGATAGAATTGTGAAGATTAAAACAGCTGGTGAATTTAAAGCATCAACGTAATTCTTGATAGATAGAAATCACTAATGGTGGCTATAATTATTTCTGCTTACTTGGCAAATAAACTCTACAAAATCAGTGTATTTCTGAAAAAGTGATTTAAATGATATAAGAAGACAAAAATTGTGAGAACCATATTATATCAATAGCATCAAAACCATGCATATGATTTTCAAAGAAAATGATAAAACTCAGTGAAGTGTGACTTGTGAGAACATAGAGACTTAATTTTATTAGTAAGTCCTTCTTAAATATATATTTGTTTTCTCAATCAAAATGTTAAGTATTATTTGTTGATCCTGTCAGTGGAGCTGAATTTCTAACAACAATTAGACCAACTTTTTTAAGACTAAATTTTTAAAAAGTACTTCCTCTGTTCCATGATAATAGTACCAGTTGATGAATGTAATTTGTCCCATAATAATAGTAGCAAAAGAAAATAAATATAGAACGCAACATTTATTATCAAAAAACTAGATTAAATTAAACAATAAATTAAAAATAGTACTCCTAGTTTTTATTTTGAGTGTTCAGATAGTTTCTGGATTTTTCAATAATTTCGTTACTGCATTTTAAACTTGTAGGTAGGATCCTTGGCTGCAAAGCTTTGCTTTCCCTATATGCGTGAGCTTAAAGTTATTGGAGCCATCGTTCTTCATTGCTTCCATCATAACTTGTTGAAGTGACAGAAACGTATTATCCAGTATTTCGGGAGAAATATTATCAAAGGCTAATATGATGCCTCTTCTGCTAAGAGGAATATGTCTAAGTTTTTCAAGTTTTTCTCCATAATCTTTGCATTTACGTCCACTGTTTTGTTTTTTCAAAGAGTCAACATTAGCATAAGATTCTCCTTGACAATTATTTTCGAAAGCATGTTTCCAAATTCTTGATATGGTCATTCTGTTGCACTTAAATTGTTTTGCAGCTAATGTAATTGCACCTTTCTGCAACTTTTCCTTTTTCTTTTGATGCATCGAGAACTGGACAATCGCAACTTGATCTTTGCTTGAAAACGCTCTTTTTTTCATCTTACTTTTACAATGAGTTGATATTCAACTGAAATAAAACAATTGATTTCGATCAGCGGATGAAATTAGAAAAATAGTTATAATGTGTAATAATTAGATTAAACTGAAAATTGAAAGATGTGTCAAAACAAATGACAGATGTCATGAAACACTGATTTTGATTGAAGGCTTCGCAATTTTGTGCTACAACATAACTTACAGCTGCATTCGCCAGTAATTTCCGTTTAAATATTCACTTGCTACTATTATTATGGGACAGAGGGAGTATATATTTTTATTGATTTCGGAGAGGGGAGAGGGAGAGAGAAATAGAAACATCAATGATGAGAGAGAATAACTGATTGGCTGCCTTCTGCATGCCCCCTGGGGATCAAGCCCACAACCCAAGCATGTGCCCTTGACTGGAATCAAACTCAGGACTTTTCAGTCCACAGGCTCACACTCTATCCACTGAGCCAAACCAGCTAGGGCTTAAGACTAAATTTTAATTAAATTTTAAATAATGTTAGCCTCAAAGTTTCTGTTATCTTGTGAGTTAAGATGAATTCATTGGATTATTCATGTTATACTGGTAAGCTATATTTTTCTTTACAACTGGGTATTAGGTTTAAGATATTTGGAGGTTAAAAATCCTGTGTTTTTGCTATTAAAATTTAAATTGTAAGAATTAAAGCTTATTGTTGTTAAAGAAGTCATATTCTGCCTTTATGTTTTGTACCAAACTATTAAAATTTAGAACTTATTTGAACACATAAAAATACATTTTTTCTTCAACAGTGGACATTCCTCTGGTTATGATAGTCGTTCTGCACGTGCTTTTCCTTATGGCAATGGTAAGTGTTTATAGTTACCACATTCAATTTGAATCAGTGAAGGACTTAAAATATTTTTATAGCAATAAAACCATTCTTCCATGGTTTAAAATACTACTTTACAGAACAATTAAAAAATATTAACTAAAGGAGTAAGTAAGTCTTATATATACTTATGGTTTCTTAACAGAATAATTTTTCTTTATTGACTATACTTTTTAAAATTAATTAATGGTGACACAACTGGGATATTTATACCATGTCTTTTCCTAAAAGGATTTAGGGTTTTTTACCAAATTGTCTGTCTTCATTGTCCAATATTTTTCTGGTTTTTGACTCGTAGTATCCCACGAGCCTTGTTCTGATATTTCCCCATCAGTGGTTCATCTTTTCTTCTATATTATCTGGCTAGGTCCTCAATCATGTTCACTTTTAACAACTTTATTCATTCCAAGAGCTGATTCCACTTTTAAAAGTGCTGTGCATTGTACTAGGTTTTAGAGATACAGTAAACTAGACATAGACATAGTTTGCCCTTATCGAATTTATAGGCTAGTGAGGAAATACCAGGTGATAGAAGCGGGTGTCATGGGAACATAGTGCAAGGGGTCTCCCACTCTAGAGGGGTGGAGCTATAGATGATGTAACTTGGATTCAAAGCATGTTCAACGACGTGGTGGTGAGAATGTAGTAGGCTTTTTAAAAAATGTTTTTATTGATTTCAGAGAGAGGAAGGGAGAGGGAGAGTGAGCTAGAAACATCAATGATGAGAGAAAACCATTGATCGGCTGCCTCCTGCATACCTCCTTCACCCCCCACTGGGGATCAAGCCCGAAACCCGGGCATGCACCCTGACCAGCAGTCAAACAGTGACCTGGTTCATGGGTCGACACTCAACTGCTGAGCCACACCAGCCGTGCTGGTGGGCTTCTTTTATGAACTGAAAGAAGTGTGGTGTGGCTAGAGTGTAAAGAATGCATGGTGAATGCCTGAAGATGAGAAAAGAACATGCAGGGCCTTGTAGTCCTGCTGCATGGTTTCAGCCTGATTCAGAGAGCTGTGAGGAGCAGTTTAGTATTATGGTGAGCTGTGAAATGGCTAGATTTACATTGGAAAAGGTCCATTTTGGCCACCTATTATGAGGAAATTATGGGTGGTAGAACTGCTGAGATGCTTGCTTGATTGGGAGAACAAGAAGCTGTTCAAGTACAGTCATGTGCTGCATAGGGACACTTCTGTCAATGATGGACCAGACTATATATATGACTGTATCCCATCTATACTAAGAAAAGGTTAATATGCTAATTAGACCTTCTGGACAAAGCCATGGTGGTGGGGGCCAAGGCAGAGGCAGTTAGGTGCCGGGGTCCAGCCCCAGCAGGTCCAGGGGTCCCCAAAGGTGTGGACGGAGTCGGCGAAGAAGGAATGACACGGAGGCAGCGTTCAGTTGATCAGCAGCCTAGCCAGGATCTCTAGCCAGGATCTCCAGCCAAGTTCTGGTTCGGATCTCCAGAGAGGTTCTGCTTCGGATCTCCAGCCAGGTTCTGTGTCCATGTTCTCTTGCTAGGTTCTCCAGGTTCTCCAGCCAGGTTCTGTAGCCATGTTCCCTCGCTAGGTTCTCCAGCCAGGTTCAGTCACCAGGTTCTAGTCAGGTTCTCTTGCTAATTTCTGTAGTCAGGTTCAGTCCAGGATCTTTTGCCATGTTCTCTCCAGGGAAGTTCTTCTGTCTGCAGGTTCTGTCTTCTAAGTTCTGTGTGTAGGTTCTGTCTTCTCGGTTCTGTCTGCTAAGTTCTGTCTCTTGCTGTCTTGTTACATCTGTATTTATACCAGTTGATTCAATCCTATCAATCTCTATTACAAAGGTTAGGGCGTTTCTTATCTCTGTTCCAGGGAGTAAAGATTATGTAGCTTAAGCATGATTGTTCGTAGTTAAAGTGATTAATTACCCGCCTGGCACTTAGTTGAGGGGTTTTATTCCCTCCCTAACTTCAGGGGAAAATCCCTACCTGGAGAAACAACCTTTCTCAGAGAGGAGACCTTGGTTAAAACACATAGTGCCAAGAAGGTGAGCAAAAATATTAAGAACAGTATGCCATATATGCCAGGTCCCTTGAAACAGCAAGGATGGACCAGCTCCCGGCAGTTAGGGGCGATCAGGCCAGCAGAGGAGCAATCAGTTAGGGGTGAGATCAGGCCGGCGCGGGGGAGCAAGCAGTTAGGGGTGAAATCAGGTTGGTATGAGGGAGCAAGCAGTTAGGGGATGATCAGGCCAGCAGGGGAGGGCAGTTGGGGGCGATCAGACAGGGGAAGGCAGTTGGGGGGGGGGGCGATCGGGCCGGCAGGAGAGCGGTTGGGGGGCGATCAGGCAGACAGGCAGAGGCAGTTAGGGGTGATCAGGCAGGCAAGTGGTTAGGAGCCAGCAGTCCCAGATTGTGAGAAGGTTGTCCAACTGCCGGTTGCGGGATCAGGCCTAAACCGTCAGTTGGACATCCCCCAAGGGTTCCCAGATTGGAAAGGGTGCAGGCTGGGCTGAGAGACCACCCCCTCCCGTGCACAAATTTTGTGCACTGGGCCTCTAGTCTATAATAATAAAAGCATAATATGCTAATTAGGCCAGAGGTCCTTCCGGACATCCTTCTAGATGTCCTTCCTTCTGGACATAAGCCGCAGCGGGTGGGGGTCACGGCAGAGGTGGCAGGGACCGGAGCCAAGGCCCTTGCATGAATTTTGTGCATCGGCCTCTAGTAAGATTATAATGGAGCTAAAAAATTCCCATCACCTAGTCACATCATAGCTGTTGTAATGCATTACATGTTTCTGATGATGCTATTGTAAGTGCACCTACTGTGTTGCCAGTCATATAAAAGTATAGCACATACAGTTAGGTACAGTACATGATATTTGCTGATAAAACATTATGTTACTAGTTAATGTATTTAATATACTATACTTTTTTTTTATTATTTTTACAGTTTGCTCTTTCTACTTATAAAAAAAGTTGGCTATAATACAGTATGCCATGTTATGCCAGCCTCATACACCTCATGTTTACTGCATCACTTGATTGCTTAATTTTCTCTTGTGCTTGATGTAATCTTGTATTGTTTTGTACAGTAACATGCTGTACAGTAAGCATGTGATACTCAAAGGCTAACCTGAGCCATACAAACAAGGTTTAAGTTTATGTAGGCTGCAAGAAAACAAAAGCTTCCTTTTTCATAGAAACTTAGGTTTATTTCAGTAGAGACAAGATGAATACAAAGGGCTGAAATATAAATGAGTAACTGTTAAAATAATAGAACATTTTAATAAAAATTAATATTTTTTCTTGAACATTAACTTACCAGACACCGAATAATTGCACAAATTAATAAGTGTAACGCAAATAAACCTATTTTTCTTGTTTTCCAAAAGCAAAATATTTCCTGTTGTGCAGACCAAACAAGTCAGTAGAAGACTAATGATGTGGCAATCAGCTGCTAAAATATTTGCTGTTGGTATTAGTGGAGAGAAATGGTGCGCCTGCGTGTAAGGGAAATGAATGCAACATGATTATAGTAATCAGTCATTAGCAAACATTGTAGTTCGTTATTAATAATTATGTATAGTAGTATAGTATAAAAATTAAGTTACGAAATTTTTATTAAGACATTTCTTACATACCGTTATATTGGCTGGGTCGCAAAAATACTCGTTGTGGGCTGCATATGGCCTGTGGCCTGCGAGTTTGACATGCTTGCTGTACAGGTTTGTAGCATAGGATCAGTAGGCTATACCAGATAGCATAGGTGTACAGTAGGCTGTACCATCTAAATTTGTGTAAGTACACTCTGATGTTTGTACAAGGAAATTGCCTAATAATGTATTTTGTAGAACGTATCTCTGTCATTAAGTGGTACACAACTGTATCCTTGGGAAGAAGTTATGGTGTCCTTTTTTTAGGTAGTACCATTGGGGAATGGAGGAAATGGAATAGTTGAAAGTCTTATACAGTAGAATTTATAAGTCTTGGTGATGGGTTTGCTGTAAGTATCATATACTTACAGTTACCTTTTAGATATCTGTATCAGAGGGTTGTACTGTCCTTCAGACCCACCTTGTTCAAAGCCACATATGCCATTCATTCATATCAAAAAGTAGTCTTTCTGTTGCCCTGGCTGGTTTGGCTCAGTGTATACAGTGTCGATTTGCTGACCAAAGGGTCTTGGGTTCCATTCCGGTCAAGGACGCATACCTGGGTTGTAGGCTCCATCCCTGGACCCAGTTTGGGTGCATGAGGGAGGTAACCAATCGATGTTTCTCTATCTCTGTCTCTCCCCCTCCCTTCCACTCTCTCTGAAAATCAGTGGAAAAAAATATCTACTGGTGAGGAGTAACAACAACAAAAAGGTAGTCTTTCTGTTGACTGACTTGTTTCACTGATTATACCACCTTTTTTTCTTTTTAAATGAGTTCCCAGGAAGTCATACTCATTGGGTTGAAATCTTTGTTTATATGTCTTTTGTAGGTATTCAACCATTAAATGGAGAGCAAAATTTTCCCATAAGATAAAATTCACTGAGAATACATTAAAGCACCTTTGTCCTGCCATTTAATAAACACTCAAATATTAGCTGTTTTATTTGATTATCCCTACCATCTCCAACAAGCTCCAAGTTCCTTCCCTTTTCTACACTGTTAGGGAGTGTTAGCATAATTGTTAAAAATAGGCCCTGCAGTTAGCCTAGGTTTGAGTCCTGAGTCCACCTTATCTTAGTAACTTTGGATAAGTTCAATAACATAGATCGTTTTCCTCATCTGCAAAATGAAGTTTGAACATAAAGTGCTGAGCACAGTACCTGTAATATGTTAGTACTTGATAAGCATTACCGATTAAATTAATTAAAATTTTTATCTCTTATAGTGCTTGTCATTTTGTTATTTGTGACTAAATTCCTTGTGTATGTTTTGCAATGTAAGTGAACATGAGGAATAGCTCATATCAGAAAGAAGAAGACTTTACTCTTGAGATTACATGCATA